AGGGTGTCCCTGCCCGCAGCAGGGGGGTTGGAACTAGATGATCTTTAAGGTCCCTTCCAACCCAAACCATTCTATGATTCTATTTTTTCATAAGAGATTATCAGTCTGTTGTTGCAGAAATGTGGAACAAGTGAATAAAAGGAAGTCTGTAAACCAGCATGTTGACGGTATTCTTAATAACGTCTTCTGTTTAGTCATGATAGCATCATCATAGCAGTTCCAAACGATGACTTCTGTTAGCTAGGCTGGTTGGCTGGAAGTCAGTGTAGCAAACATTGGTACTGTCAGAGAGTTGCAGAGCCCATTGGTGTTGATTGAGATTCCCACTGGTTTCAGTAGGTTGTGGATCAGGTCACGTAGAATGAAAATACTATGCAAATCTTATATGCTTACTTTTGATGTTTCTTATGATTTTCATATATTTACAAAAGTCTGCATAACAGCCTAAAAGGTCCTCAGCATATGGAAGAAGTAACAATCTTACTTCTTTAAATGATCCTTTATTGCAGCTTCATGATATGCGATCGTGTTTTTAAGCCATTATTTCCTTGGCAGATTCTTTTGATTTCATATTGAAAAAATACATATTTACAAAACTGTTGTCTTAAAAACCATGTACTTGGAATGAGTCTAGACTCTATCACTGAAATGTTAATTCTCATAATATAATTTATTAGATTCTTCAATGCTTTTTCATGGGACAGTTGATGAGTTTACCAAATGTATTATGCCAGTGTTCCATATTGTTTACCACTCTGTGTTACTGGATCACCTAGCGATGCGCATGGGATGCTGATGACATCTTGGACACAGTCATATTGCCATTAAATTAATAGAAAATACTGACTGCTGCAGGTAGATTGACTATTCCTAATTCAGCATGAAAGTACAGCAGCACATACAAACCATAGTTTTTCTGGTACAAAAACTTTGAGACGAAATCTATTTCCCCCCCCCTTTTTCTTTTTTTTTTTTGTCCTCTTTTTTCTTTTTTTTTTTTTTTTTTTTTTTTTTTTTATTACTTTGGCGTGGAGGTGCAAATAAGCAGAGCGGTTTTTCCCCTTTTTTCTTTTTTTTTTTTTTTTTTTTTTTAGTTTAATTAAATTATTAGTTATTTCTAACCAGATTTGAACTTGAAGACTGGGTTTGCTTTCTCTTCAGCATTCCCTATTCTGTCACTGAGGCTAGTGTACCAGGCTTTGAGTTTGTGGAAGTCTGGCTGGCTGTGCCAAAATCTTTACATGCGTATGGTAATTCCAGTGAACTGGTTATTTGAGACTACTGTGTGTGTATGTGTATGTGCACGTTACCTTGTTTGAATTATGCTAGCTGTTTATAACTGTCGGCAGTTTTGTACTCTAGAGGGTGCTACTGTTCTAAACGAGGAACAAACTTTTGTCCTGTTGTAGTAAACTGATGCTATAATTATTTTTGAGCATGCAGTCTTCTTATGGATAGGCTCAGTAATTAGTTCCCAGTTCACTGTGCAGACATGCCCAGAAATCAGTGTTCAAACGGAACTGATTCCTGTGCACAATATGTTACCTGTACGGAAATTGGACTACAAGTGCTGCACTAAATCGACAAGTGCAAATTGCAGCGGTTTAGGGTATGCAGTGCTGTGAAAATAAGAGACTTGCACACGTGAGCAGTGGTTTGCAGGGCTAGATGCATGCTTATGACTTCATTAAAGACTGTTGCTGATAAGCTCGTCATTGTGGTGGTAAAAAATGCAAATTGAAGCTGTATAAACCGGTTGCATGTTAGCAAATTATTTTCCTGTTGATTTTGCTGCCAGTTGAAAGTAGCACCAGTTTTAATGCTTTGTTCATTTATATGAAATGAAACCACATTGGTTTCATGGCATAGTAAGATACTGTAGAAATGTATGTAGATGCTATGTAGTTTGAGGGAAACGTTTCAGGTCTTTTTTATATATTGAAACACTTGTTGTGATTACTACTTCATCCGTTGTCCTTGCCAAAGATAACGAAGTAGTATAAGTTTGTATTAGGCTGCATCTATGGCAACTGTGTATTCTATAGTTTAAATGTGCAAGATTTTTATCCAGAAAATGAATTGTGAAGCAAGAAATGCATAAATATGTCACATATCTTGAAAAGGTTCTGACTATAAGAGGTCATGCTCATAAGTCCAGTGGTGGCATTCATATTAGCAGCTGTCTATTTCCTCTACATCTATGCTTTGGAAACAACTGTTTACACAGTGTTTCAGCTTGCTTTCCTTCTCTTCCCTACATACAGTGCAAGAAATCATCAACAGTGTACAGCCAAATTTGTTTTGTTAACTTTGTTCATGCTGACAGCTAACCGCACACTCTTCTCAAATGCCTTGTCTAGAGATCCTGACCTTGAAAGCATGAATTCTTTTCTACGGAGGTGCTCGGAGGGTTGATACACAGGTATTCTGTGCTTAGTACTAAAGAGTAGTAAGGTGTAACAAGAATTTCAAACTACAATTCAGTGAAATTCTGTAAATCAGTAACACCAAAGAATTTTGTTCCCCATCCCCCTCAGTAAAAAAAAAAAAAAAAAAAAAAAAATTATGTATGTAATAAATGCCTTTATGATGGGATTGCACATTTCTCATATTGCCAATAGGAATAATTCAAGCAGGGCATGACTATATTTTTTAAGTACAGTAAGTAATGTGAAAGCTAGTTTCTATTTCACAGCAAACTCATGCTAAGAATTTCTTAGTGTTTGTTCTGAAATGGCTGAGTCATGACTTGCTGTAAATTATTTTTTAGAGATATCAAGATAAATTTTTGCAGTTTATGGCTCAACATTTGGAGAGTATTACTGAATATTACACATTTTTATACAAGTTGTTAGTTAAAACTACTTTGAAATTAAGTCTCTTTAAATGTCACATTTGTTTTCAAGCCTCAGATTGCTTGAGTACTTACTGTTTATTTTCGAAGCTGAAGTCATTTGTTGAAATGTGAATCATGCCAGAGTTTAGTTGTTTAAAGGTTGCCTCATCTAAGTGATGTTTAAGTAGAAAGACTGAATTTAAAGGAACAGCATCTCCCCTTAGCTAACATTTTGAGCACATTCTGATATGTGCAATGGGCTTAGCGGTGAAGAGCCCCTCTTTGGCTCTTTGTGGTTTCCTGTTTTCATTTTCTCTCAGCAGTCATCAGTTGCTGATATTTGTTAGGGTGAGCATTGTGGAGGTTTACTCTTTTAAGTTCAAGTTACCGTTCAGCTTTGAAGAAACTGAGTATTACTCTAAGCTTATTTTTCAGTCTTCAAGAGGCAGCCTCACTGTAACATTTATTGTGTTATGTAGCCAACATAATTCTATTTAAATTAAATTTGCGTTATGTGACGTCCAATAATGCATTTACCATACCTGTTTCTGCATCGGAAATAAAATCTAGGAGCTCAGCCTGTTCCCAGTAAAATTCAACAATAACATTACTGTTAAATTCATGGCGATCAGAACTGCAGTTTTAAATATTCTTCAAAGTGATAAACCTTAGTTTTCCAGAGAGGCTTGTAAGCTGTCTGTTGTTATGAATTGGTTGCTTTTCTCCTGCGGCAGTTGTGGTGTTATCTTTGAACATGAGACCTTCCTCTCTGCTCTGTGGCTCTTGTAGACATCTCCCAGGGTAATTCAGGTGTCCTTGGTTTTTCTGCACCTTCTAGATTAACATGGTCCAGCTGATGCCTCAACATAAACAGCACTATGAGCTGTGTCCAGACATCCTCAAAGTTTTCAAGAGAATTTTCATACTTACGTGGAATTTCAGAACAAATTTGGAAAGAAAAATAAATGATGAATAGTATTTCTTTGCTAGACTTGTGATACAGTATATTTAACTTCTACTTTTGTTATTGGCAAAAATATTTGATAACATTATCCTGAGTATGTACCTCCCATAATAAAACAATAGATTTCAAACTTCATAAGTATTTGTTACAAGAAAACAGTATAAACCAGTAATGCAAATGCTTTCTTCATTGTTATCTTCTTACCAGTTGCATATTTGTACAGAATTAATTGTTGGGTGATATTTTAGTATGCAGTTTCAGTATAAACACTTTCTTTGCTTTCTACCATCCATTATCCACATTACCTAAGATATCCTTGAGAAAAATGTGTTGCCAAGGCAGTGTTTTCAGTTGATTATTATGAAGATTGGTTCTTCCACTACTGAAACCAATGGTGAAACTCTTCTGGACCTCAGTGGGAAAAGGATTTTCCAAAAGCAATAATGAATTGTTTTAATATGTAGTATATACATTACTTTCACTATGAGGTAGATTTAGTTTAATACAATAGTATTTTGAACATGGACAAAGTTAATTATTTTTTTTTAACACCTAAGAAGATATTCTGTGGTGGTCTGTTTTTTGATTGTACAGCAGATTTTTGCTTGCATATAAACTCTCCTTCAGATTCATTACATTGTCTCAAGTTATAGTCTAGAAAAAGCAAATCTGGTCAGTAAATCAGGCATTTGCAGATTTGGTGACAACAGTCTCCAGTACCTCTCATGTTTTCTTTGAAAACAATATAAAGTTTCTAAGCATAGTGTTTCTAATGAACCAATTTTTCTAAATAAACTAAGTGGATAACGATTAACATGAGTGGTTGTTCAAATGTTGTTCACATTGAAATGAATTTCTGCTGGCATTGTTGACTAATGAGAGCAGGATTGCATCTTTATAGTGGTATAATCATTTTATATTATAACTAAGTGTGAAATATGTATTTCAGTTTACTTTAGTATACTCTTTAATGCTGAAAATCACATTATGTGTGCTTTTTATCACCAAAATACTGTGTGATGGGATGTTAAGGATACAAGGATGTCAAAGGAGAGAGAATTTGTGTATGTGTAGTAGGTAGATTCCATTCGTATATATGTGTATTTTCAAGATGCTGAAGGCCATACAGGAAGGTTTATGTAGCTACTGATCTACAGATACATATATCCTTGATCTTTCTCTCTCCCTTCTTTCCTGCAGGGCCAAGGCTTTTCGTGGAAAAAAGGTCCATGGAGAATACGACATAAAGGTGGAACAGGTAACTAAATGACTTAATCTGAATGTTAATTTTTATACTTGTGTATTTATACATATACGTATATATATATGTTTGTATAGATAGATACATAGTCATTTGTACTTTAAAAAAAAATCTCACACGTTAACTAGAACGCTCAAAGATTTGTGTTTCATTCTAATGTGGCTCTTTTTAGAAGTTTCTGACCATAATTTGCACAACATATTAAAAACAAGTCATACTCAAATATTGTTGCTTAGAGACTGTGAATTTTCCAGACGCTCCATGAATTCCATGTTGCATTTCTGTATCACTTATAAGAATATACATGCACTCTGGTTGCAGTGCTAGCATGCATGTGGTTTTTGTTGTTGTTTTGTTTTGGTGGGGTTTTTTTGTTTTTTGGCTTTTTTTTTAAAGAAAAGCACTGAATAAATATGGAGATATAATTCAGGTTGCATTAGAATTATGGTTCTTTTATTTGAGCTAGATTTCTGAAACTAGGGAAGTAAATAAGTCTTTTCACTGCTTTTCACCCTTGAATTCTACGAATAGATGCTACTGTAATAAGAAGCTTCGGTACTTAAACTCAGTTGTTTTGTCATTGGAATTTCAAAGAGTGAGGGAAAATTATCACTGGCTGTGTGGATTCAGCTTATCTAAATTCACTGTAATAGTGCAGCATCTAGCTTTGCTCCATTCTTTACACCATTGAATATCTGCTGATGTTCTTGGCTTGGAAACATGGAAAGCTTTGCCAGGGATCTTCAAGAGTATTGAGGGAGACACAGGGAAAAGGAGACAAGCCATTTTGTCCCAAAATCCCCTTCACACCTAAATCAGACCATGCAGTTGACATCACACACACTGTCTCTTTAATATTAACAAAAGCTCTGTGTAAGCCCAAAATTTCCTTCATATGATCTCTTGTAGGACCAGACGACCTTTAATCAGTAAGAGATAGAAAGTTGCTGAACCCTACTAATTGCTTTGTAACACATCAACACTGTGATCAGTTCTATACAAGCAGAGTTACTAACAACTGCTTTAGTGGTGTTCTGCTAATACCAGAGAGCATTATTTTATTTTTATACTACTTACAGCAACCTATCTACAACATACAGTATTTTCTATCATGTACTAAGCTTTTAAGCTACAAAATCTGTTTTGTGAATACTTATAATTGTTTAATATGATTTATTAATCGGGGAGATCAGTTGTCAGTCTCAGGTTAAATAGATTTTAAATGATTCTTTAACATCGTCAGCACTTACACAAATATTTCAGTCTCTTGCCATTTGCACTGTTTTTACAATAATCTTAAAACTGCCCCTTGTGTTTAGAACGTTGTAACACGGATCCAAGAAAGTATATAAGCGTATGGGATTTAATGAAGAGATGTCCATGCTTGGAATCAAGCACATACTTAAGCTACTGAGTTGGAACAGTGGTTAGAGTAGTCAACGCTTGCCTTAACTGGACACTAACTTCTGAAAGCCTTACACAGATTTTACTTAGGACGACTTTCAGTGATACCATTTTTCAAGAGGAGACTAATGAGAATTCTGACACTCTCTATTCTGTATGAGTGTCCGGGATAGCAAAGACGGTTTTATTTATCCGCTAGAAGACAGTTGGCTGCATTTCAATTATTCTGCTGTGTAATGTTATTGTAAAGTGCCTTGAGAGTTTAAGCTGATGAAAGACTGTGGATAAATGAAAAACATCCTGTCCTTTCCTTTCAAGTAACTGTAGATTCAGAGTATGGAAGTGATTCCTTTTAAATTCCACATTTCCAGTGTGAGAAGATACTTTGAAAAAGTTACTTATTTGTGAATTTTGTGAGTCAATTATTTATTAGCACCAGATATTTTAAAAAGAAGAGTAAATGCACATAAAGGAAATAGGGGTAAAGTATATGAAGAGACACTAAATGGAATAAGAAAATATTTTATTTATCATACTTATTTTAACATTGCTTTTTTACTGTTTTCTTCAAAACTTTGTGTAAATGTTTGAGTCTGTATTGTTTTATGTGATGACACCATACAAACCAAAAATACAATCTTTACAGTTCTATGCAGACATGAATGAGGAAATACACTTGCTACTCCCTCACAGTCCTTTTTCATAAAGTTTTTTACTTTTTACTTTCTTTGTATTAGAATTTATTCAAATGTGATGTCATATGTGGTAAATACTATTGTATTAATATCCTCCTAGTGCTCATTATATTCCAAATATATATTTTCAGCAGTTCAGATACAATACTTAAAAGAAGGGACTTGGGAAAATAAAGGTACAATAAACCAGACGGACTAATGTGAGTCTTCTTTTCATAGGCAGAATTTTCAGAAATCAACTTAATAGCCCATGCTGATGGCAATTATGCAGTAGATATCCAAGTATTTCGAAATGGCACTAAACTTGTCAGGTAAGAAAAACTAAATAGAATAACAGCAAAAAAAAGTAAATGGCATAATGTATGCGCATAAAAGGTACTGAATGATTTCTTTGTATATATGCAGTAGGGGTTTTGATTGATGCAACGCAGCTTGGTCATTGGCACAAAGAGTAGGAAATAAAGTAGCTGATCAGTGTAGTAAGTCCTGTTAGTGACAGGGAAGAAATCTCTCGACATTTTGATCACATGAAAGATGGATTTGATTAAGATGGGAATGAAGTCTGGTGTAAAGAATATATGATTGGGAGTCAGGGTTATTGATTTGGGCCTTGTCTTTGCTTCAGACATAAAAACAGCCTTGATAACTTGGTGACATGCCAGACCTTTCTAAATGAGCAGTATTTATGTCCAATGTGGAGTAGTTTCTATTGAAACAGGCCAAGTCATAGCACTTCTCTCAGGATAGTTACTGGAATATCACTGTCTGTTTGAAAGATTCCAATTTAAAAGCCTGAGATTTCCCAATAGGCTGTTTTGTCCAAAAAGGATTATTCCAGTTGAAGACAGGATAATTTTACAATTTTTTTTCCCAATGAGGACATCAACAGCCCTGTAAATGTAAGGGGAGAAAAAAAACAGGGGTACGTCTGGGCAAAGTAAAAGCTTAAGTATTAGCAAAATAGTTTCAGGCAGTCCTATATTTTAACTAAGCTATGGGAATTACTCCTATTTTGGCCAGCACAGCTATGTATCAGTTATGTGTAGCAGTTGTTTGGCTGAACAATTGCTTTCAGAAAGGTAGATCAAGCCACTAACAGTGACCTTGTAGTTTACTGCTTGCGTTTATATTTAGGCTAGAGTAAGAATTCAGGGAGCTGAACAGCATACAGCACATCTTATATCTTCATGGTTTTGCACAACATCTGTCCAACTAAAAGATTTGAAAATTTCTACTCATTCATGTAAAAAAAAATCAGGGGGAAAAAATATAGAAAATAAGTGTACTTTATGCTTTAAAACTCACAACTGTTTAATCTCTTGTGCGTTCCAAAATATTGCAGCTTAATACAAGAACCACTTATGCTAAATCAACAAGATTATTTCCTTAGAAGAATAAGAGAATTTTTTTTTTTTTTTTTTAGGGTGGTTGTATTTTGTTTTCCCCAAAGATAGAAGTTTGGAGCCAGGAAATTTTGATCACTGGTCCCCAGTGGCTTTTTTGTGGAGAATTTTCCAAACAGAACAAGTATATGGAGGCCAGGGTAGCACCAGAACATGTCAATACTTAATGTGAGCTGGGAACCTCTAGAAAATCCCATCTACAAAGGTTTAGGAGAAAACTTGGTAAAACTGCTGCTTATGTTAAGAAACAGAGGAATCTTGTTGAGTTATCAGATAACTCTGATAATGAGATGACAAAGGATTTCATAATGTTACCAGTTTTATCAGTAATTTATTTAACTAAGTAGAACTACCTGTTGTTGATAAATTTCCCTCAAATATGTGTGAGAGATCTGCAGAAGTGTGCATGCTTTCTGGTGTGAGAAGGCTATGCAGGTGCATGGTCCTGCTAGTATCAAAGTTCATGTTGACTGTGGACTCTGAGCATATTACTAAAAAGGCCTGAATATTGAGATGAAAAATCTTATCTGTTATTAATCTGAGGTCTGAAGTGACCTTGTATCATAGTTTATGAGCAAAATATTATTTAGTAAAATCATAGAAATTTTGATGACGAAATTTTCTTATTTTAGGAAGAAAAAGGTATGTAACAGGCACCTGCTTTTTTCAATTTTTGTGAATGAAAAACCAAACCGTGAAAAAATGGTATCTTGTGTTACATAATACTGAGGTTTGGGATCTTACAAATGCTTGAGCCAGGATTAAAATTTTTCTCATGACCTTCACAGTCATTCTGTCCAGTGGTAATTACAGAACTAGAACAATTACATAAATGTATCATGTACTCCCTCTGAGGAGTTTTTGCAAAGCAAAATATATAATTTATTTTTTTTTAAACTACATTCCCCCAATTCCCCAATTGTTTCATTAAGTTGGTATTTTAAAGGACACATTCCGTTCTTTTATTTAAAAACATGGTGCTGTCTTTGAGATGATGTGTAATCCCCTTCGCACTATTTTAAATGATAGAGGTGGTTTCTTTCTTGCACTGAGTGGTCTGCAATTTTGATTAAGGCATCATTAGTCCTCTAAGTATTATACTCATGCTGTGCCAGTAAATTGAATTTCCTTGTTTCAAACACTTGGCACACCACCATGAAACCTAGAGCACAAATTCTCAGAACTATGCTACAATTTTTTTTTAATTTTGTTTTTTTTTAAACTTGTTAAAGGCAAGCATTTCTTCACAAGTTTTGGTCATTGGTCTACAGTGCCATTATAGTGACCCTTAACAGCAAATGTTTATAATGTTGCTCTTGCCAAATCATGCATTACATTTGAAAGCCAACCTAAGAATCCAGCTAATATACTTTGACTACGGCATTCAGGCTGGAATCTCCAAACTGCTTAAGTAATGTTCACATGAATTTTAATTGTTTTGGTTTTGTTTTGTTTTCCTAGAGTGAGATTTCTGAATCATTTTGTAATCTTTGGAATTTTCCACTCCAGTATACAGCTTATATTTATTCAAGGCACGTAAATAATTACACTAACTTACTACACTAATTTAATTTATCCTGCAGTCATACCTCTTTCAGGACCTTGATAGCTTCAAGCTAGTCAGTGTTTTTTTCCACCTATAGAATTTGAATACAGAGGAGAACCTTTCAGCAGTGAAGTTCAGGAGCAAATTGCCCCTGTACTGGTGGCCGTGTTGCACTATATCTTCTGTTTTGCATAACCTTCTTCAGAAACCAAATGGAAGGCTTTGAGTAAGGTGAGGATGGTATCAGGCTGTTCCCAAAGGTGCATGGTGGTAGGACAAGAAGCCGTGGAGGTTGCAACAGGGGAAATCCTTATTAGATGCAAGAGAGAAAGACGGAAGTTGTAAGTGCAGTTGTAAGTTTAGAAGTTCATTTTGACAAGTGCCTTGGTCAAAAGTTGAATTGTGATTCTCTCCAATTATGGCATGATTCCTTTGGTGAGCAGTGGGGTTGCTTCATCTCTTGCTGTCTTTAAAACAGTCTGGCAATAGTTGTGAAAAAGAAGTTTGATTGTCATTGCTCAGGAGCTGGTGCTCATAAACCAAGAACATACTCATAGTTTGTATATATGATCTATCTTTCAGTAGGAAAACAACCTGAAAAGCCAGGATAATTTGTCTCTGCCCTTAATGGAGTCACATTATTGACTGGATGCTGATGTTTTTTGAAGAGCGATTAAGAAATGATGCAGTACAGAGTTTCATAAAGCCACAATAATTCTTTCTGTCTTATAGCATTTACCTTTGTTTTGAGTGTTCTTTTAGTACTTCTCTATCCATTTTTCCCTTTTAAGAGTTTGCTGTTGAAGGAAGAACAATTCGATCATTGACTTATTAGCAATATATCTTTTTCTTGCTAGGTCATTCAGGCCTGATTTTGTCCTTGTTCGACAACATTCATTCAGTATGGCAGAAAACGAAGATTTCCGTAACTTGATCATTGGAATGCAGTACGCAGGCATCCCTAGCGTCAACTCCCTGGAATCAATCTATAACTTCTGTGACAAACCGTGGGTGGTAAGTGATGTGCTGAAAAGTTCTTCTGGTGCAAAAAGAGTTAGTGACTTTTTTGTTGTTGTTTGTTTGCTTGTTTAGTTCCTTTTCATCAATATTGAGTATCAAACTGCAAAATTACTTAGCAAAGCAGTGAAACAATAATGAAAGGAATAAAAAGTAAACTAAGATATTTAAATCATTTTTTCAAAGAACCAGTGTAGGCAGTGTAGAGACGGAGAGAAAAAAATATTTGTAGTAGAAATAATGAAATAAGTGAGGAAACTAACAGAAAGCCTATCCACTGCTAACATGCTTCCTCAAGTGAGGGAAGAGTGTTTATTCACAGTTTGAAAGAATATTTTTCATATTTGTGGTTTTGAACATAATTTAAACAGACTTTCAGCCAGTGTCTGTGAAATTTTTGGGGCTATGCTTTAGCAAGGAAATCTGAAACTATTAGCTTCCTCATTTGAAAGCTCTTTTCATAATCTTGTGCATATGGGGTAGGAGTTAGTCTTTCCAGTTACACCTAGAGTAATGAGGTACACTGGAGAATCACTGGTATTTGCCAGTTTTAGTGTAGAAGCCAATTCAGTTTTTCATTACATGCTTTGTAATGATGGAGGTAGAATTTAGTTTTCTTTTGGGTTCATAGGGAACTAAGCGTTAGTAGAAACAAATTAAAGTGTGGCGCTCCAAAAGATTATTATCAGTGGTGCAGTCACTATTCCTTTAATAGGTGTATTCACTTGCCCTAGAGCTAATGAAATTTTAAAGAATACCACTTGTTATAAATAGCCAAAGCTTCATAATTTTTTCCTCTGATGTCTGAGTAAGAACAGTTGTCCATATTTTTAGCACCAAAGGAAAGTTTTACTCTAATACTTGTATTGCCTTGAAGATGTTTATTTTTTCATACTTATTCTGAAAATCCCTCTGAAAAATTGTCAGCAGATTTTAACATATACCTCTTGCTGCTAATGTTATCATACTTTTATGTTGCAGTAAACTACAGTGGGGAATAAATAATTGATAGAGCATTTATAACTTCTCAGAATACATGTTGTACATTGCTGAATCCTTTATTTTAATACATCACATTTTCTATGCTGTGTGGCATTTCTTAATGCTTTGATTCATTGCATGCAATAAAGCTGGGCGATGAAGTAATAACAGTAGCATTTATATGCAATAATGATGCAATAAAAAGTAAATTAATAATTTCTCCTTGTAATACTCTTTTGGTGGCATTAGTGTCATAGCTTTTTTTCCACCAAACCAATAAAGATATCTCTTTCTTACAACTGGTCTTGTTGCACATAAAATTTCTGTGCTGATTTTTCACTCTTATAATAACTAGGAGTTGGAGGAATATTTACTTAATAATAACTAGGAGTAACTAGGAGTTGGACGAATATTTACTTAATAATGACTGGAAAACCTGGCAAAAGCAAATATAAGGTGACAGGTGTAAAATGATTGTCATGTTCCATCTGTCTCTCTTTTGTTCTGTATAGTACCCCTCACAAACAAATGATAAAGTACTGTACTTACAAGGTCTTATTTGAATTTAGAGTTATAATAATTTAAAAACAGTCTTGAATTATGGTAGAGCTTTTTTAAGATGTGACATAGGAGTTTTTGATTAAATGGCTCTCTTCTGAATTGCCATATCTGTATTTTTGCTTTTTGCAAAAATTCCCTTTTTGGCTGAAATATCAGTAGTATGTCTCAGCCTAAATACAAATGAAATGAAAATATTTTTAAGCTGATCTTATTTTATTTTAACATAGGGAAGAATGTTTTTTTTTTTCCTTTGAGATTTTTCTACCTTGCTATTTCTACATCTGACAGTGAAAATATGTTTTGTTTGAAATACTCAGCTATTTCCTCTCAGAAATTACTATTCTAGACACATTTAATGTGTCAGGTCACATGCTTCAAACTAGCATCCTTCACGTTTTAATTATCTTTTCTAGTTCCCTGGAGTGGTTTTCATTAAGAGAGAGCTGGGCCTGAGCGTATGCCCCCACTGTAAGTCAAGTGCAGTGAGGCTGAGTAGGCAACGTTCATGTGTTGTGAACATGATCGTACTTTGCTCCATCAGTGGCCACAATTCTGTGTATTACCCACGTGTGGCCATAAGCTAAGCCTGCAGATGTGTGACTGATTCCCATTCTGAATGTGTGGTGGCACTGTACTTTAGTTAGAACCCGCTTAGGAGCGTGGACTTTTAATTTGAGCACAAAAATAGTTTCTGTACAAACTTGAGGAGGCTTGTTCGGGCATTTAACTTGGAATATCCTGGTTTCTGTTCTTTGTGGTAGTGGGAGATGTAGAGACAACAATGTTCATCCCAGAACATCAAGAAACCTTCATCAGATGTAGGAAGGGTGAGTGCTGCAAGAAGTCATGCAAACCTATTTCAACCCATGTCCAGAATAAATACTCTGAGGGTAAAAATCCATTGATCCTTTGATTGAGTGACTTTCATGAATGTTCAGATAATGACACAGAACTCAGGCATTGTTGGTTTTGCTAATATTGTCTTCTAGCTAGTTCGATGACACCGAACTCATCCATGCTACCCTGCCTATATGAAATCCCTGCTGCAAACTGGTTTGGGTGCCTTAGGGTGCACTCTTCAATCTCTTGCTGTGTGCTAGCATTAAGCATAAAAACCATTGATGCCCATGCTGTGCTCCTAGATGTACTTCAGGCCAGTGAATCGAGCAGTGTTCCCCAGTGTTCACATAACACATATTTAAGCTGAACTGATACAAACTTAGTTAAACTGTAACTAGAAAAAACCTAGCAGATCCAGTAAGTTCCTAGATCAGAAACCAGTTTAATATTTACAGTACTGACTAAAGGTGTTGAACCACTTACCAGTCTAATCTCTTATATACAGAACTTCATGATTTGTTCAAACTGAAATTGTATGTTTGCAGTTAAGAACATTTTCTTATTTAAATTTCTGTCTTTTTCATCATGGCTTAAATACTAGAATACACTCTAATTCCGATTGCATTTTTATATTATTTGTAGTCTTAACATTCATATAAAAAGAAAACTAGATTCCACTTCATCCATGTACGCATCTTTTTATAAATACGTCTTACTGTCAGAAAGCATTTCAGAAAGCTTATTGACCAGTCGTGAGTTTCCATGTCAATTTTGCAGTAGTGCAAGTAAGGAAGCATGTGCTTAGACTTACTATCGATCAGTCCCCTTTCTTCATAGCATGTAAAGGATGCCTTTTGGGACAATTCCTTTGTTAACATGAGTGACCTGATACTTTTATGGAAGCTATTTCTATAAAAAGTGCAAGTTCAAAATCCTTAGGAAAAATTAGAAAGCAGGAGTCTACATAAAGCCATAAGGAACGATCTTTATTAGTGGATGAGAAATAGATTGACTTTCCTGCACATAAAATTTGAGTGGCAGAAGTGAATTGCAGTTTCTATAATAACAGGGGGAAAAAATAGTATATCATGGGAAACTGATCTTTCTTACATCAGTGTAAAATCAGGAGTAGTGTAGAATTGCTAGAAGGGGAAGTCAGGAAAGTTAGACTAATTATAAAAGGGCTATGGAATAAAACAAGTTAGAAGCTGACATACAAAATCTTTGTTTTTGAAATGACTGTTCTTCAGAGTATCAGGTCTTTGCTTTTTTTCTTTTTTTTTAACATACAGCTCCAGATGCCCAGTCTGTTTTCAGTCCTGAGGACAGATTCATCCCCTGCATTAGACACTGAAGCACCTGCCCTTAATTTTTCAGCAGAAGTCTTTTTGTACTCTTGTCTGGGTTTCTATGCCTTTGCTAATAGACAGCAAATTTGTCTTTCATCTGAGGTATATTACTGAAAGATGGGGGTGTGGTGGGAAGATTGCCAGGAACATACTAAAAACATTTCTGAAAACAAGTCTTAAAACTTGTGTTTTCCGGTGCCAGGACATACATAGTTCCTTCAAATGCATGTCAAAAGTTCAAAGCACCATATAAACCTTTGAAAAGTTAGGATGCTAGCAACCATGGCAAAGAAAATATTGAAATGAATGTGTGTGGTGAGATGTTTGCATACTGAAATATGTTAATGATCTGGGATTACTACAGTGCTCCTGTTATTTCACTTCTGTGATAATACTTACCACCTACCTCATGAAAAATTCATGATCGTGGCTGGAGAGATGGATTTCACTTAAATGCTAGTAAGAATGTCAGAAAGCTACTTACCAAGGGGGATAGCATGAGTTTTATAAATAAAGACTAAGTTCTTTATTACTGAGCCCGTTCAGAGCTGTGGAGCAACTGTTTTAAGGTTCATACCCTCTCTTGCCACGTTGGAACGTTTCATTGCATTGTCATGTGTGAAGTAAGAGACTTGTGCAAGACTTGTACCATTCAAATGGGAAAAAACTTTTACCTAGTTTAATTTACAGTTATATTGAGTTAAGGTGAGGCAAAAGTGTTGTATACTTTCCTTGTTGGATTTGTGATCCATCTTACAATTCTACTCATGTCTAACGGTGTGCAGAACCTATTGTAAAGAATTTATCAAAGTCTGATAATAGTAAAAAGAGCATCGTGAATTGCTCAAAATTATGATTATGACATCAGTTGAACCCTGCTCTTGATTTTATCTTCAGTTGTAAATATTGGTGGTAGGGGTGCGGTCTTGGAATACCACAGATAATTATCTCTTCACCCCTACTGTGTGTAGTAGATTGCCAATAAATGGAATTATGCAGTGAGGTAGAGCCAACTGGTGAGTATACTAAACGTGCAGATGCTGGTTACTTGTCAGGGACTGTAAGGTTCAATGTCCAAGGCTGCTATAGATAGAACACTTTTTTCCGGTTAAACACAGACTGTCACATACTAATCACGTGCACTATAGTAGCTGGATTGCTCCTTCTAGGTTCAGATAGTGATAAGCATTTCAACGCTGCAGAGATTACGGAATTGCTGCAGTTGTATAGACCAAGTGTATATGATTGAAGAGAGAGAAAATTCTCATCAAATCAGTCCAACTCCATGGTAGCGGTTCTGGTTCC